TCTGCTTATTTTATCATTTCCAGTAAACTTGCAAGTGAGAGCATTGTGAAGAGTAGTAGTTCATATCCTTGGCGCTCTTTACCTTGTAATAATGAATTCTCTGTCTGACAGAATGACAGGTACTGATGATCACATCAAAATATAGTTCCAGGAGGGGGCTATGTTTCTGGGAATGGAGGTTCTGTTGTAGGTTCAGCCCCATACTTAAGTATGCAATCTGAAATGGAGGCCCAAATACATAAACTTGAACAAGAAGCTTACTGTGATGTCCTGCGTGCTTTTAAAGCTCAGTCTGATGCCATTACATGGGTATTTACTCTGCTCCATTGACATGTATACTAATTAAGGTTCTTCTCTCAGGCTTTTTTTTTTTTTTTTTTTTTCCTGCAATCATCTGATTCTAATGCTCTCTATTTCCCACATTCAGGAGAAGGAAGGTTTAATAACAGAGCTTAGGAAAGAGCTACGAGTGTCAGACGATGAACACAGAGAACTTTTGAGCAAGGTCAATGCTGATGATATAATTCGAAGGATAAGGTTAGTGCTGATCTGTGGTGTTTTCTTGCTTCTGGGTTTAACATGTTATGTGTTGGGTGATGATATCAGGAATTGGAGACGGTCAGGTGGCAACCAAGCGGCCAGGCTAAATGCTACTCAACCTGTTCATGATCTTCGACCCAGTCCTGGTGTTTCAGCATCCCGCAAGAAACAGAAGACTTCACATTCGGTTTCTTTATTAATTATTGGTGTGCAGCGAAGATTCTACATTGGCCTCCTGCTGACTTGATTTTACTCCCATCTTTCTTTAACAGATTCAGTCATTACCGGGCTTATCCTCAGCAAAGTCCATGCGTTACCCTTCAGGAGTTGCTGCCGGAAATAGGCAGTTCAATAAGCATGGTTCCCTTTCAGCAAATGAACCTGCGGATGCAGCTACCATTCGCCCACTGGTTGGAAGGAAAGTGTGGACAAGATGGCCTGAAGACAACAACTTCTATGAGGCTGTCATTACTGATTACAACCATGCTGATGTATGTAAAAGGTTTATAAAGCCATTGACAATTTTATCCCTTGATTTTGAGGAAGACGTCTTCTATAATCTTTTTTTTCCCTTAAAGTTTTTAGGCATGCTTATTTGTACGTATTGTTCTACACTTCCAATCAGTGACAAAGAGGACCTGTCATTCTTTTTGGGCCCAAATCATGTTAGAATGTTGCAATATGTTCTCATGCTTTTTCTAAAATATCCAGGGTACCAGTTTGTTTGTCCAACTTCAACCAACAATTGTTTGATGCTTTCTATTTTGGTTTTTCCTTTTAAATACAGGGCTGGCATGCTCTGGTCTATGATATAAATAGTCCAAATGAAACCTGGGAATGGGTTGATCTCAAAGAGGTAAGTAGTTATTATCTTGTTTTGAGTGAAATCTTTTGCACTACTATTGGTGAATGCTATTACACAGCTAAAATTTTACAATATGTTTTGAGATATATTCTGCATGTACTTTTGTATAAAAGTTTGGACATGTTTATATAACCCCTTTTCAAATAAGTCAGGCCTTGGCTTTGTTAAGGTGGCTGGAATTGGAAGGAAATTTTAGGACTTGTACTCCTTGTGAACTTCAATCTAATGAACTTCATTCTAATATTTTCTTCTTATGTGCATGAATTTTAAACAATGCACTGTATGTGTCAACATAAAGGGACAGGGTGTCTTAATTGTTTAGCAAGATTGCCTTTCAACTGAAATAAATATTCTATTTACTTTATTTGATGAAGGGTTTTACAAATAACAAAGAACATCTTGTCTTATCATTAGTGAAAATGATGTGGCATTGTAAGCTTACGATCATGACGTGTTATTATATGATTGGCTCTTTTTGTTCAGAGACCCACGTGTGATATTTTATGTATCTCATTAATGAAACGTCATGATTGTAAACTTACAATCCTACATGGCATTGTAACTATATCATTGTTTTCGTTATAGATGTTTCCTTTGGACAAGCCATCACAAAAGCTGTCTGCTGATTGCAAAAGAAGAAATTAAGATTTTAAAGGGAATGTTACCAACATTCTTCTGATTGCAGATCCCGCCAGAGGACATACAATGGGATGGTGAGGTTCCAAGCATATCTTATCGAGGCCATGGAGTTAAGAAACAATCCAGTCATTTTGCTCCTGCTCTTGGTGCTGGAAGAAGCAAGGATGTGCAAAAGAATATATGCCATCACAGTATGGAGTTCCTAAGAAGGCTTCTGAGGATATTGAATTACATGACACACAGACACTAGTGAAGGAGGTATTTATTGGAGGGCTTGAACAGATTTGTAATATTCCCATTTAGCTAGTTCATAAATCCAAGATCAGTTATCTATATCTTTTTTTAACGGATGGAGAAGGTTTTTGATGCATGCCATCTGGATCCACTTGAGCTTGAGAAGGCAAGGAAGAAATTGAAAGTAAGACTATTGATTCATGCTGCCTAAATTTCTCTCTTCCCATCACTCAGTGCACGCTTAACCAGGATGTCTCATGCAGGAGCATGAGCTGGCACTCATTGATGCACTTGCAGGGCTTGCCGATGCATCTGATGATGAAACTGGTAATAAATGCATTTGTATATAGCAGTACCTTTCGCATTGATATTGTTTATGGCATCTTTGGCAAGCCTAACATTGTAAATGACTAATTGAACTTATTTATTTATTTTCTTTGGCTTGGGAAAGGATAAAATGCATAAAATTTTCTTCCAATAGAATGTCCTTTTGCTGTGCCATTATTTGTTTGGGGCCTTTTTGTAAGGGTTGGGATGGGGAATCCATTAGGCTGTCCAAAAATGAGCACTTTTTGCAATGTACATGTGAAGAAAAGCCGTGTTGGAAAAATAAATTTACTGCTAAAAATATTTGTGAAGCATGAACTATAGACAGCAGCAGTTAATACTTCGTTGTAAAAGACTATCTGAACTTGGATAAGAAACTTAAAGGCTGTTTGTGAGGTATCATATTTGGGGCACTATCCCTAGTCTCAATATTTCTGCAGAGAATTAACCTTCTTCTGAATTATGTAAACTTTGGAAAATTGGTAGCTAATCTTGTTTCTTCATAAGATGGAGAACAGCCATCCTTGCATGCACAATAAAATGACTGACAACGAGGAAGGAGACAAGTCAAGGAATGGAGCCATCGGAGACAGAGTACCAACTCTAAACCTTGGTGATGAGGTGTAATGATTTTAGAGTTTATTGTCCTACAGAGCCAAGTGTAAAAGACCAGATCACCAGCAAGTTATGTTGCTTAACTGTACTTTAACATTTTCATTTTATTTATTTATTTTAATTTTGTGCCTCATAAGGTCATATTGGACACAAAAAATGCCAAATGCATACACAAAAGAAATTCTGTTCCTGATGGTCTTTTGAGGCAATGCAAAATTTCTAGTCGGTTAATGTAAAGATTTGATTTTTGCATAGAGATGGCTGGAGCTGGAGGCTGTTACTTTTGCTTATGAAGTCGCTTGTATTTGTGTTGAATCAGGCTCTCTCTATTTTCCTTCTACCTGTAGAGTAATAGATGCCAGAATCCTGCAAGCTAATAGCAGAGTTTAATCAACATTTGCTAAAGCAATAGTAAGATGAGAATGAACTCAATTGCATGAAGGTTTTGCATTTGCAGCAAATTCACAAGTTTGATAATCAAGAAAAGCCAAATTGAATTCAAATGTTATGATTGTTAGCTGGACTGCCAGTTCCTAACTGTTGGTTTAATGTGGGGACCATGCAGGAAAACATAGCAGGTAGCAAGCTAAATTCTGATAAATTCAAGCCAATATAAGAACTCTTGCCTCAAAGTTTCCATTTTTCACAAGAACAAAATGCCTAACACCACAATAAGACGCCCCAGAAACTACAATGCACATTTGATGCCACAAAAAACAATCCCAAACCCAAACCCAAAGACAATCAGTGTTTCAATTATCATTTCCAGAAGAAAGAATCAAATAAACTCTCTTCCAGCCATATGAACACTTAGAACTTCTGTGTTCTGCTCATACGAGGACATAACAGCAACTCTAACCACTAAAGAAAAACTATATCATTGCATAGATGTCATTCCTATTATAAGCAGCAAAGAACCAAGCTCAACACCTTTTAGCAGACTGCACTCTGCGTGGAGCTTGTGAGGGATGGAAGGGTGAGATCCCTTTGGCTCCCGGTACAACATTTTTGGATATCTCCGGCATGGAATGTGTCATGTTAGCTGAAAACTAGATAACAGTGTTTGCCAATTGATTCTATCATCACCAAATTTCTCTTCATTTTCATGTAGGAGTAATAACCATGTAATAGCCATTCCACGAATTGAAACTTGACCAGATGGTTCATCAATAATTTAGCATGGAATGTCAAATCTGCTGCAATCAACCTTGAATTAAAATATTACACATCTTCAAAAACAAAGTGATGACTTGCACCATAACCATTTTCTTCCAGTATTAGAAAAATGAGAAAAATCTACAAGATCAACCTTTCCTTTTGTGGTAGATTTCATAAATTGGTCCAGCTCCATAAAAATGACAAAGTAATCACAGATACAGATATTGGAATCTGAGAAGGTCTAAGGAACCCAGATGAAAAA